CGCTATGGGGGACAGAAGCAGGACTGGGGGTACTGTGGGGGGCATGGAGCCAGGTTTTGGGGTGCTGCGGGGGCCTGGACCCAGGCTTTGGGATGCTGGGGGGGCCTGCCAGGCCAAGGGAGGCTGGAGGCACGCTGCAGGCCTGGCAGCACGCATACAGGACATGCTATTTTCTCCATCTCATCAAAGCATGGGGATGCACGGATCGGATTTACTGCATGGCATTCTGCAGCTCTCGCGCAGTAACGTCGTCTCCTTGGCCCACTGCAGTGCATAAACCCAGACCCCGTATCTCTCCTCTCCTTCCCCGCAGCCTAGTGCTCTCACCGGGAGCGAGGGCAAGGTGCAGGCTCCTTCCACCAGCCGTACAAACACCAGCACCCAAACCTCACTTCCCCAATAACTGGAAAGCTAGTTCTTCCGAGTCTCCACACTTCCCTCGCTCCTCTCGCACCAAGGCCGGGTTGCAGCAGCCTTCATCCTCCTTTCGCCGTCAGCTGCTCTGTAAGCAATTTCATAGCGAGTTTGCTTCTGCCTTCGCTGCACGCTCAGATGTGTGCTTACGCAACCGCAACCAGCTCATTTTATCACTGACAGAAATAAGAGATGCCATTTCTGTAAAAAAACCGGCTTTTATTTAGATATTGTTCCCTTCCAGAATATGCACCCCAGATATGTACTAGAAAAGGAAAAAAAAAAAAAAGAGAGAGAAAAAAAGAGCTAGAAGGCAGGCCTTTTTTGTTATTGGAGATGTTGGGAAGACACCGTCAGCTCAGTCTTTTCATCTGTTACTGACTGCACACCAGTAGAAACTAGACAGCAGAAAATCTTTGTTGATTCAATTCTTTTCAGGAGCTGGGCTTCTGTGCGCGAAAAGCCATCGTGCCATAAAAGCATAAAGGCAGGGTAGCTCTGCATCAGTTTTTTGGTGAAAAGGACATACTATTCCTCACAAGTGCTATTTTAAAACTGCACGTCAGCAAAAGTCGTGGGTTTTACTTAAACGTACCTAAAACTTTCCTCAATTTTCCTTCACCAGACCTCGGTTAAGTTCAAATATTAGGTTTATTAGTCTTCAAAAAGATCAGTCAAATAATAAAGCTTTTTTCCCCAAAAATGAGCTTATTCTAATAGATACTTTCTCAGAGAAGAGAAAGGAAAGGCATCAAAACTAAGAAAGTATAAAAGAACAAACATATAGGAGTACTAGGAATACAAACAGCTTGTTTCAACCCATCTTCCTTGAAGGAGATACTTTAAAAACCACAGGCCTGAGGCTGTGGTTCCTAGGTAGGAACGCCCTGTCCTCACTGCCCTCCTGGAGCCCATCACACTGGGGGGCAGTCTGCATCTCTGGAATGACTGTCGAAGGCTAAAGAGGGACCTCTGATGTAATTAGTCCATTCCAGTTGGGAAAAAACAACCCACCAAAATCCACCACTCTATTCTACTGCATTCAAACTTGCTGCAATCACCAACCTGTCTGCAGGAACTGCAGCTCTGCAAAGGAGGGACAGGAGGTGAGACCATCAGATCCACTGCTGCCCACCGCTGACCTGCAACAAATGTACCACTTGATACAGTCACCTTTTATCATCCTGATACACATTTTAGCCATTAATTTTGCTTCAGATTTTTAACAAAATTCCTCTTGGTCTCCCAGGGCTTTAAAGACACAAAACAAGCACTTTTGGTATTTAGTTTACATTGTAAGTGCTGTGGAGTTTTTTGATTTAGGTTGATTTAGGGGAGAAAGTCAGCTGAGTGGACCACTGGTCCTTGTACAGTTGTACTGTATTGCTGCATATGACTGGTAAGGTTGAAAGACACAGTATCACTGTCACAGTTACAGCAGGAAGAGAAGGCACAGCCAGAATGCAAGGAAATTAAGGAAAAAAACAAGTCACTTGGATAAAAAGCTTAAATGTTCAGCTTCCAAGCCTCCTGACATCATCACGTAGATTCTAAACCCCAAAGGGTTAATAATCTATTTGATTCAGCCCCTGACTTGGTTTAACGAGCGTATTCAACAGTCTCTCAAGTTCTCCCGGCCAGCTTCTGTACTGAGCATCCGACATTTCTTTTTTCCTCTATTTCAGAGCCAACCCAGCATAAAAAGCCCAGTCCCACTACTGCCTGTTCAGAACCTGGGGAGGGTGCCAAGCCCCCTGTGCACAGGGAGGAGAGGTCCTTCCACGAGAAAAGCTTTAGCAGAAGTCCTTTATGTACAAGTTAAAGCCAAAAAGGGACAGGCCACAGAGGAACAGTACAAAGCTCTACTGGAAACAAGAGGGGACACAGCAAGGTTGATTTACAGCATTTATATCCCTCTGAACAAAACCCAACCCCTGCACACGTCTCATCAGCAAGCTCAGTTGTCCACCTCTTCCTCATCATTTTGCTCTTCTTCCTCCATCCTTTCGTCATCATCATCATTCTCTTCCTCTCGGCTCTTATCTTGCTCCTCTGAGTCTGCCTTCTTGTCTTTATCTTTCCTTGCTTCTTTCTTTCCTTTCTGTTCACGCCTGTAAACTAAAAAAGAAAAAAAGAGAACACTGAAAAATTGCAAGCCAGTGTTTCCACAGCATGAACAGTACAGTAGCTGAAGTCCAACGTCCACTTGCTCTCCAGGCTTACAAGGGGAGCAGTGAACTCAGAGCAGCAACTCACCCTATTATTTGAGCTGTGCTGACCAGCTCCATAGGAAATCAGGTTAAGTTTCAGCAGAAAAATGCTGAAAAGGACGCAGGAGTTCACATTTACAGGCAGCACCTAAGACTTTCCTTAGATAAACATAATAGGGGAGTGATAGCAGATGAGACTTTCCCAATCCTCATCAGTTGTGAAATAATGTTATCCCAGTCCTGTTAAGGTGCACATTTTTTATTCCCCGGGCAAACTGCAGTGTAGGATGCTGGGCAAAGAGAAGAGAAACAAGACAGGCAAGTAAGTGTTGTCCAGTGTTTGAGGAAAACAGGACTTAGACTCCCTGCTTAGACTCCCTCGACAGGAACTGAGGACGATACCTTCCAGTGATTCTTTCAAAGGGGCTACAAATCGCTGAAACTCCATTTCCTCCATGGCAGAGAGAACATCGCCAGCATTCAGCGTTTTCCTCTTCCCCTTCACGGCAAAGTTATTTGCACTAGTCAAAAACAAGAAGGAAAATAGAGTTAATTGGTACTATCATCAATTTAGTCTTGTTTATTAAAGTCACAAGCAACTTCAAAAAAAAAAGCCATCTCCTAAACATTCAGGGTTTTTTTTAATCACTTAGTAACAGTAGTTTAAGATACCTTCTTGTTTACATTGGCTGTTTGTGCTTTCATTTACTTGCATTGCTTTCCCGTAACATTAGTTTTCTGCTTGCACGGACCTTTTCTACAGCTGGGTGGAAGGAGAAAGTCTGAACGTTGGCTGTAAGGTGACAATTCCACAAAGCCGTGTGAGTACTTAACACCAGAGAAGTGACTGCCTGCACAGCACGGCCACCCCAAAGACGTTACTGTGTCCTCTGCGACCAGCTGCAAGGCTGACTAGGTTGGCTCACGCTTGACCTAACGCAGCTGCATGGCAAGTAGCTTGGAAAGCGAGCAAAGGGCTTCCTTTGCCAGGGAAAGCCACGCAGCCATATTCTAAGGCTAACGGCAGTTTGGGACCCCTCCTGTCCCTGGTGGGGTTGGGGCACCTCTGCGTACAGAGCCAAGCTGCCTTCCCCGCGGGTTGTTAAGGGCAGCCCAAACCCAACTGCTGCAGTCTGGGCTACACTAAAGATTGTTTTATTTATATAAACAGACAATACCAAAACGAACACTGCAAAAAAATCTCCAGGACAGCCAGCAGAGAGGTGAATTATAAATCAACTGCACTGGTCATCTAATGCAACAAATTCTTACCATGATGTTGCATAAAGCACAAACACACTTGCCGCTCGAGATATTGCGCTCCGAGCTTCTTTGGAAATATTTACTCCATCTGGAAGCTGAAAAACAAATTAAACTTTTATCAGCAGCTGCTATAAATTACTTAAACTCGCATAATTCACGTGTCAGTTCCATTAAGGCATTCAGAGGGCTCAGCACAACTGGAAACTAAACGTTGACCTCAGATACTAACACAGAAACTTTGATGCCAGCCGAAAGCCAACCGTGATCTGACGGTGTTCTCTCAAAGGCAGTAAGCTACGCAAAGCAAAGTAACTTCTGGGTCAGCGGTGGGTCTGGCCACCATCTCCGGGGCAATTCATCCGACAACCATCAAATTCCTGACACAGACCAATCACCCTGCCATACCCAGACCCATTCACCGACGTCTCACGACTCAAGACTAAACATATCATCAAATTAATGACTGGGAATTATCCTAGACTTTTACAGAGACAAGGGATCGCTTCCGCTCCGATTTCGCTTGCTGGTTCAGCGAGCCCCACTGCGAGACGCCGCTGCCTCGGACCGTGGCTGGGAACACTACCGCGGGGTTCCGCAGCCCGGACCGGCCCTCCCGCACCTGGAGG